AAAAGCACCAGGGATCAAAGTCCTCCGGGGAACCGTGAGGGATGATTAGCCTGAGCCCTTTCCCCGTGCCTTTTTTTGCCCTGCGGCACGTCCCCGGCAGCTGAGTGGGACCCGTGTGGGTGCAGGGCGTCACAAGGGCTTGCGTCGCGTCCTGCTGCTGCGTGGGTGCAGTGCCAGCCACGCTGTCGGCTGGGGATGTCTCTGCATTGCTCTCTTCACCCGTGAAAGCATCCTCCTCTGCCTCCTGCCGAAACTGTCTGTCCTCCCGGGCCGGGCTGTGCTGCAGGGACGTCCGTGCGTCCTTGCAGCAGGAGGCACTGTGAGCCAGGGAATAACTGGGAGCTAAAAAATCCCAGGGAAACGCGAGAGCGCTGCGACCTTGCGCTTCTGCTGAGCCTTTCCCTGCCCAGCCCTGCCTGCCGCTCCGGGCAGTGGAGACGTGGGGACATGGGGACAGCGCCTGCCGGGGCTGCGGGGTTTTGCTTGCAACGGTGCCGTGGACTCTTTCCTTTTCACTGCCTGTATAAACCGTTGTGTTACAGTGTATTTCAACACGGCAGGTTGCTCGGAGCCTCTGGGCATGAAATCCCGCCTGATCTCCGACCAGCAGATCACAGCCTCCAGTGTCTTCAAGACCTGGGGCATCGACGCCTTTACCTGGCACCCCCATTACGCTCGCCTGGACAAGACGGGCAAAACCAACGCCTGGACGGCACTTCACAACGGCCAGTCCGAGTGGCTGCAGGTGGGTCTTGGTTCCCTCCCTCTGCAACCTGATTTCTCCTTCCCCAGCTCCTCCAGCTGGGGGGGGCCGCACAGAGCGGCCGGGACGGTGCAGCCAGAGCCTTGTCCCCCCCCGAGCGGGGATCACGGGGGCAGGTCAGGATGGGGCCACAGCCACCGTTTTTAACAGCCATGCTGGAGCGCTGGGTCAGAAACATCAGTGCCCACAGGGACAGGGACAGGGTGGTGCCATCTCCGCAGACCTTCTTGTGGGGTGCGCTGAGCCCGCAGCACCCCGGCTCTGCCTCACCCCCTTGGGAAGCACCATCTCAGCTTGGTATGACCGTTCCACGACCCTCCAGCTGCCCAGAACACCGCGTTTCTGTTTTGCAGGAAAAAATCCAGGTTTGCTTTTCTCTTCCCAATCTGGAATGGGAACAAATAGTTTTGAAATTTCCTTCTCAGTTTCCTTTCCTCCCCTGTTTTTATACTTTTCACATGATTTCATGACATAATGGGACAAAGCAGTTTAGATATTTGTCCCGCTTTTTATTTGGGAAATGATTAAAAGCAGCTGCTCCATGGCCCTAAATAAAACAGCTTATCAAGACGTCTGCTGATGTGGTTGGGATGACACACTGAGTTGGGCTGTCACACCGTAGGCTGTCTGTGTACGTGTATATAGATTTACATGTATACTCGTATATATACACATATACGTGTATACATGTAGCTAGTACTGCCCTTGATGAGTATAAAATAGGAACTAAATTAAGGAGACTTTCGTCTCATTTGCCGGGTTGCTCTGTAGTGTGCCAGCAGCAGCCGTGCAGTGTGGCAGAGTAAAGAGAATAAAAACCGTCTCACTTAACAACCCAAATGTCAGACCACGCTGAATTGCATATTTTCTCAGCCAGCACCACTTTCCAGTGGAAATGCTTTTCCTCCGGGAATCCTTTATTTTTTTTTGTATTGACATTTTTTGCCATCATTCCCACATTGACCTTTTCAGCCAAAAATGTTGAGGCAGCAGCGATGGGGAAGGGAGCTGAGACGGCAGGGTTTGCATCCCACTTTGGGTTGCTTTGAGGGATGCTGCAAGTGTTAAAGGGTCAAATATTTCATGGCAGTGTTTTATCAGTCACTCTGGCATTGGGGCAGGGATTTTTCTCCAGTCTCGACCCCTGAGGGTCTGTGCATTCCAGCTGCTTCCAGGACACTCGGGATGCTCTGAGGTGGGAGCGCTGCTCCTGCGAGGAGCCTCAACAAGCCTTGTCTCTATGCCAGATCGACCTCCGGGACCAGAAGAAGGTGACGGGCATCATCACACAAGGAGCCCGCGACTTCGGGCACATCCAATACGTGGCAGCCTACAAAGTGGCCTACAGTGACAACGGCACGTCCTGGACCCTCTACCGGGACGGTCAGACAAACAGCACCAAGGTGTGTGGGACAGGACAAGGAGGCCAGTGACCTCCTGGGGCTCGGGGATGCTGCTGTGGGGAGGGATGGGAAGGTGGTGGGGAGGTCCTGGTGGTGCTGACACCCACCTTTTTCCCCCTAGATCTTCCACGGTAACAGCGACAACTACTCACACAAAAAGAACGTGTTCGACGTGCCCTTCTACGCCCGCTTCGTCCGCATCCTGCCCGTGGCCTGGCACAACCGCATCACCCTGCGCGTGGAGCTGCTGGGCTGCGATGAGTAGGCGCCCCAAGGAGGAAGGACGGGGCTACTCTTCCCCGCTGCCCTGCCTGCGCCCTGCCCGCTCCTCCCTGCTCCTGCTCCAACCTCACCCCCCCCCCTCCATGTCCCCAAACTCGGGCGGCAGCCGGGAGGGCTCCCCTGCCCCGTGCTGGTGCTGGGTCTGCAGCACTGCGCTTTACGGGGCCCTTGCAGGTGGGATACGGGGATGGCTCCTGCCCTTTCGCCCCGCTAGCCAGGGGTGAGACCCCCTCCTCCAACTGGGGTTTGGCTGGGGAACCCTCTCCTGCAACTGGGGCTTCCTTGGTGGACCTCATCCTGCAAATGGGGCTTTGCTGGGGGACCCCATCCTGCAACCAGGGCTTGGCTGCATCCTCCCAGCTAAGCCTGGAGACAAATTTTCTCCCCTTTTTTCGCTTCTGCTTCCAGCAGAGAGGCTGCAGCCAGCAGCAGTCCCCTGCCTGCACTGGGGCTCGGGGCTCAGCAGTTTTGGGGGGGCTTAGAGCAGGCACCCCTCCGACGTCCCTCCTGCTCCCTGCACGGCTGCAAGCAGGGGCTCTAAAAAACCTACTCGGCTGTTGTTCCTTGCCCATTTCGCCAGGCCCTGGGTCTCCTTGCCTGCGGTGTCAGCGCCGCATAGTGCGAGGGGAGTGATGAGACGGCTCCTATCAAGAGGCACCGGGTCCCCGTTGCTGGTGGCTCTACTCGCTGGGCGCTCCCGACCGGCACCACGACTGGCAGTCACTGCCCATTCCCATTCCCGGGGAGCTGGCTCCAGCATCCTCCAAGTCTCAGCATTGCCACCGTCCCCATCTTACCACAGTTTGGGGTGCCTGCAGGTCCCTTTTACCCAGAGCCAAGCGGTGACCAGGGGGGCTGCAGTCTGGTAGCGGGGGAGAGATGGTTTGTAGCCACAAGGGTGCAGAGAAAAGATGGGAAAGGTGGTGGTTAAACCACCCAAATGCAGTAGGCAGAGAGCTGTGCCACGACCCTTTTCGTAACCTGTTTTTTTCCCTTTCCGTGGGGTGGAGGGGAGCCTCTTGCATTGCTCGAGCCTTTGGGATTAGCAGTAGGAGATGAGCGAGACCCGGCACCGGCAAGCGGGAGTGCGGGCAGGGTGTCCGGCAGCGGCGCTGGCGGCAGTGCTTCCCCACCTGCTGGGATGCGAAGCAGCCGTGGGGCTGGGCTGGCAGCGGGTTTGCTTTGGCAAGTGCCGAGGGAGCCCGGGTGGGACAGTGGGGGCAGCGGTGGCCCCGCTCCAGCGTGTCTCTGACAGTATTAAAACCAGCTGAAACTTTGGGGCTGTTGGCTTGGCTGCTGTGTCTCCCCGAGAGCACCTCCTGAAGCCTGGCAGGTCTGGCGAGTCCCCAGGGTCCCCTCAGAGCCCTCGGGCTCCTCCATCCCTGCACCTCTCCTGCTTTCCTAGCTCCGTTCTCTGCCCGAAAAACAGGGTACCAGGGCTTTGTGCATCTTCCTCACTGCCTCCGCCCCATCGCAGCTGCTGGAGCCTGTGCTCACAGCTGGCCAAGCGCAGCGGGGTGGGACTTGGGGAGGGGAAGCCACTATCAGCACCCCACGCCCTGCGTCTCCTCCTTTGGCTTTGATCCTGGAGCAAATCGCCCAGCTTGAAGAAAAACGACTTTTACACCCCAGTGTGCTCCTGGGGTGGGCAGGAGCTGTGGGTTTTGCCCGGGTTGCCTGCAGGGATGCTCCTGGCAGAGTCCCCCCTGGGCAGGGGGGGGGGATAGATGCTGCTGGAGCAGGATCCCCCTGCATGGAGGATGGGGTCCCTGGTAGGGAAGGAGCACTGGGGTGAACAGGACAGAGGTTTGCTCCTGACTAGAGTCTTCTGCCACACTGGGCAGGGACCCCTGAGGTTGGCACGAATGGCCCAGGGTCACTGCATCCCACCACAGCTCTCTGTCCCCGCAGCTCCGGACAACCACCATGCACTTTCTTGCTGCCAGCAGTGCCATGCTCGGCCACGCATCCTCTCCCCCGGTCCTGCCTGTGGGAGCTGGTCCTGTGGGTGCCAGCCCTGGGCACCAGAGGGGCTGGGGGGCTGCTGCCAGAGACCGGGCTGAATTCATTGTGGCTGTGGCTGCTTGGTGACAAATAGCAGCCACAGCTAAAGCTGGGGACAGGGTGGGACAGTCAGCCCCACTCACCTCCAGACATGCCACCCTTATCGCCGGGAAGCTGGGGCAGAGATAAGAGCAGCTCTGAGTCTGGCCAAGACAGCCCCGAGCCGGGGGCACGGCAGAGGCTCCATGGGGAGGGTGATGGGAGCAGATGCTGTGTGTCAGAGCAGGGGACTGCTCGGCCACTACTTCCCCCTGCCCGTTGCCACCCCCCAGGCCAGCCCAGCTGACGGATGCTGAGCCCCTTTCCCAGCTCTGCAGTGTTTCCTTCCTCCTGCTGAGCCCCAGGACGTGGGGGTTTGCTCGGGCCAGGGCGCCCTCCACCCCATGCACAGCCCCTCACGGTTTGTCCCTGTCCCTCGGATGCTCTTCCCGGACGCGGCTGGGTTGCTGGGGCAGCAGGAAGGCCAGGAGGGCCGGCACGCTGCGGCCATGGCACCCCGCTGCCTGCTGACTCGGCGGTCGGTGCTGCCAGCTGCCCACAAGCCGGTTCCTCAGGAAGCAGCCGTCGGGGAGAGCATCCTCTCGCCTCCACCCGGAAAGGCCGGCACAGATCATAGCCTCCTCCATCCCACCAGGAACGTGGCTTTTCTTCCCCAGTTTGAGCCTTGGGCGACAGGTTCCTGCTGGAATCGTCCTGCATAAGCGGCATTTCAGTAAGAAATCTCTCCGGTGGGGCCACGGCAGAGCTGTCAGCTGCTGGGTTTGAGGCGGGGAAGACAGGGATGACATTTTTATGGCTCCCGTTCAACCAAAAGCTCAGCCAGCCCTAAACACGTGCCCTAAACACGTGCTCCTGGGTCAGAGCTACCCTGACCCCGCACAGCCTCACTCACCCTGAAACCTGCAGTCTCACTCAGGGTCTCCCTCGGGGAGCAGAAAACAAATCTGGGATCATTCCTGAAGCTCCAAAAATAGGGTGAGAGGTAGGAGGGAGCAAAGGGGTGTCCTCCTTCCTCACGGGGGCTGATGGTGGCTGGATCCTTCCCCATGCTGCCTGCTCCCCAGGAGGAGGTGGAGGGCATCATTTGCCACATCCAGACAAGAGCCATGGCCGAGTGTGAGCCATGAGCTGTTGCCGGAGAGAGATGCACAAAAGCATCCGTCTCCTCTTCCCTGCTGCTGCTATCCTCAGGCCGGGTGGAGAATGGCTCCTGGCAGGCAGCACAGGGCACCGTGTGGCTTGTCCTTCGCCTCTGAAACAATGGGATGGCCATATCAAGGAGCAGCGCGCCTTGATGGGGCTGTCCATCTGTCTGCACAGCCCATGGCGTGGAGGGGATCATCCCGATCGCCGGCTCGCTGGGACATGTACAACTTGGGCAAGCAACTGCTGGGGGGTATCGGTGATGGGGATGTAGTTGGGATGCGGCTGGGATGCAGCCAGGATGCCATGCCACCACCTTCTCTGGCATGGGGCAGGGCTTGAGGTCCCTGGGGACACTTAGCTGGGATGAAGGTGTGCAGCAGCCCCACGCCACCGTGCCGGGAGGTGTAATTGCCCCTCCATTGTGGGCTGGGGAGCCGCCTGCTCCGGGCAGCCAAGCAGGCAGCGTGCCCGGCCGTCACGCTCCTGTGTCCTTCAGCAGCCCGG